GGGAAGAGATGGGGTCTGAGAGTAGCAGAGGCCCAAATCACTTTGAGTCTTGTGGGCCATTACAAAATTTTTTAAAATGTTTTTTTAAAATTTATTTTTGAAAGAGAGAGAGAGAGCATGCACGTGTGCAAATGGGGGAGGGGCAGAGAGAGAAGGGGACAGAGGATCTCAAGCAGGCTCTGTGCTGACAGCAGAGAGCCTGATGCGGGGCTTGAACTCCTGAACCATGAGATCATGACCTGTGCTGAAGTTCGATGCTTAACCTACTGAGCCACCCAGGTGCCCCTCTTGTGGGCTATGTTAAAGGACTTACACTTTTTTTCTGAGTATGATGGGAAGCCACTGGAGGATTTTGAATAGAGGAGTGACCAAATCTGTCTTGGGTTTTGAAGAGGCACTCTGGCTGCTGAGAGAATAGACTGTGGCAAGACAAAGGTGGAATTGGAGAAGGAGGTTAGGAGGCTATTGTAATAATCTAGGTTAAAGGTGATGGTGGCTTGGACCAATGAAGTTGAAGTGGAGGTGACACAAGTGGTCAAAGTCTGTGTATTGTTCAGGTAGAGGCAAGATGGTTGGCTGTTAGATTGGATATAGGATGTGGAAAACAGAGAAGTCAACCATGACTTTAAGGTTTTGGCCTGAACGGATAGGTAGTCCAGAATTTAGTTTTGAACTTGCTGAGCTTGAGAAACCTATTTGACAAGTGTTGAGTGGGCAGTCGGGTATATGAGTTTGGAATTCAGGGGAAAGGTCTGAGCTGGAGATAAAAATTTGGGAGTCGCCAGTGTACAGGTCCTTTTATAGCCATGAGAGTGGGTGAGATTACCTAACAAGAAGAGTTCCAAAAACTGAGCCCTGGGGCAGTTCAACATTTTGAGGTCTTGAGAGATGAGAACGAACCAGCATGAGAAATCCAGAAGAGTGGCCCGAGAGATTAGGAGGAAATCAAGATCAAGTGGTGTCCTGGGAGTCAGGAGAGAGTTTCAAGAAGGAAGTGATGATCAACTGGATCAAATAATACTGATCAAACATAGAAGTGAGGGATGAGACTTTTCTGTTGGCTCTAGCAATGGGGAGGTCATTGGTGATCTTAACAAGAATGGAGGGCAAAGCCCTAATGGAGTGAGTTCAATGGAGGATGAGAGGGGAGGAACTAGAGACAATGAGTATGGTTAACTCTGGGAGTTTTGCTATAAATGGGCGCATAGACATGGGCGGTAACTAGAGAAGGATATGGAGTCAAGGGAGACTTTTTTTTTTTTTTTTTTTTTAAGATGGAAGAAACAGAATGATCCTAGTGAGGGGGAAATTGATGCTTCTTGAGACTGAGGGGAGAAGTGCTAGAGACATGTCCATGAGAGAGTAAGATTAAGAGGGATGGGGGGACACAGGGATGATTATGACATCGAGACCTAACGACTAAATCTCATTAAGCAGAATTCTGTTTTTCCTTTTGAGTACTTACTTACATTTCAATTTATTTCAAACTTATTATGCTTTCTGTTGGAAGTTAGGAAGGGCAGATAAAAAGCAGTTAAACTTATTGTATATAAAATTAGTGTATCAGCTTGGTGTAGTAGAGGAGAAGAGATTGAATCTTCTGCGTAAGGTGACATTTTAAAGTGTCTTTGAATGACAATTATCTGTGCTATTCTAGTCCCTTATCAAAATTTATGATTGAGCACAGACTATAAACTTAATTGTTCAAACTTGTAGTGGGATGAATTTTAGCCTAATTTAAAACGATCTAATGTTAAACCTTTTTTCTGTAGAATTTGTTTATATTTTTCATATACAAAGGTTTTAGATATTTTTACAAAAGGTACTTAAGTTGTTATTAATCATCTCTGATTTATTGATGATATTTTAAATTTTACAACCATATTAGAAATCTGAATGATTCATTTCTTTACCAGCTCTAATTAAAGCAGCTACCTGTGAAGTTCTGGAGAGGTGAACCATCTTCAGTTTGCAAAAAATCATGGGAAGTTATGTTAGCAAGATAAAATTCATCTGTAAAAGCAAAGATAATTTCATTTAGTTCCACTTGTATGTTTTGAGTGTATTTTTTAAGAAAAAAATCTATATTTGAAAATTTTAAGCAGATATGGTTCAAATTCATAACTACCTTAGCTATGAGTGTCAAGAGTATGTGAGAAACAAATTAAGTGGACTTTAAATCAGCTTAACATGAGGAAATCAAACTTGCATTTCAGACCTAAATACATTTTACATACAGATAGTGTTAAAATACACATTTACATACACATCTTTTTTGCTCACTCTTACTGAATTATAGAAATAAAATCTTTTCTTTTTCATCAGTTTCCAAAGGGTAGTTGATTAATAATCAGTCTTCAGAAGAAACACTTTGGTAGTTGTGATGCGTAGTGTTTAAGAATCACTAGTCTAAAAATAATTGACTTTTTTTTTTTTTTTTTTTTTGGTATCTGAACCTCTTTGTAAACCTTATTAAAGCTGTGGGTCCTCTTCCCAGAATTCTTACACGTACAGAACTTAACATATAGTATTGTAGGGTTGGCAGACCACTCTGAAACCCATTCATGAGGATCCCTTAGGCTTAACGGAGCTCAAATTTTAAGACCTGCCCTACATAGCTTACTAATATGATTTTTCCTTAAAAATTTATATGGAGACTTTTCCAAAGATATTTTGCCAGGATTTACTATAGTTTGTTTCTTAGAAGTGTTACTGCTGTGCCTGGTTAAGAGGCGGTGAGGTCTAGTGGAAAGGCCAGCTCAGTCAAAGGAATCTCCAGGTCTGTAAGCTTTTCTCCAGCTTTACAACCAATTGGTGTGTGACCTTCGGGGAAGTCACTTAACCTCTTAGGCTTTGATTTCCTATGTGCTATCTGCAGTCCCTGCAAGCAGTTTTATGAGTAGTTTTATGATACATTGGTTTCATGATGTCATGGTAAAATTCTTTATCAATTTGGGATTAACTCTGCGATTGATTTTTGGAGAAAATGCCCTAGAGATAAAGTGTACATCCATTGTGTCTTTTTACTAAATATGACTGTTTAGAAGAGTTGATGTGACTCTACTTTCTCAAATGCCACATAAGTAAAAGTAAAAATCCTAATTCTATCCTGATCACTTTGAGTTTCAGCATATTTTATATGTTCTGGTTATAAACCATTGTTATATGTGTTGGAATTGTCATTTCCAATTCTGTGGCTTGTTTTTTCATTCTCTTAATGGTGTTGTTTTTTTTTTTTTTTGATGAACAGAAGTTCTTAATTTAGTACAATATATCAATCTTTTCCCTTTCATTATGCTTTAAAATGGTAACATCTCTACTGTTTTTATCCAAAGTCATTCACTTAACAAATAATGCTGTGGGAGATTGATGCATAAGAAATTATCACCAGCATGAAAGAGCTAACGAGAAATGTTTAATAGGGAAAATAAGTGAAGAGTTAAGGGTCCACTCAATTCGTTCATTTAACAGATATTAATTGAGCATTTACTACGTGCCTGGTACTGTTCTGAGTAGTACAGAATCCTGCAGGTACCATCTGTAATGTTAATAAATCCCTTTTTTTAAGTGGAGATATTATTGACTCATATAACATTATGTCAGTTTTAGTTGTACAGCATAATGATTTGGTATGTGTACGTATTATGAAATGATTACCACAGTAAATTTAGTTAACATCTAAACTTTTACTTAACATTTAGTTACCACACAGTTACAATTTTTCTTTTCCTTGTGAAAATCTGCTTTTTAATAACCACATCATTCTACAGACCTTTGCATGATTTTTTTTTTCGTTGAAGTCATTCTAATCTTGGTGATTAAAATAGCCATTTATGTGGACTTGAGAACTTTCAGAAATACTGCTGCTAAAGAAAAGGCAGGATAAAACGGCAAATTGAATTTCTTTTGGAAATGTTAACTGCATGAATTGGGGCCCTTTTAAATTATCTCACTGTATGTTTGGTGTGACTATACATGATTAAATAAAAATTTATAATCTGGGTAACAAGATTTTTTGAAATATCCCTTGAAATGAGAACACTATTGGAGTAACATCAGTCAACAAACATACTGTGTTTAAAGCATAAGGAAGTTTCAGAGCATGTCATGTGGAATTTATATAACTTAATACTAAAATATTAGGAGAAAAGTTTTAATTTTTGTTTCCTAATGTTTTTTTTAACTAAAAAAGAAGTTTGGGGTGGGGATGAGTTAAAAATAAACAATATAGCCTGACTTGACTTTTCTAACTTTGAAGTCAGCTTAATGGAGTTTAGTTAATCTTAAAAAAAAACAAACAAAAAAACACAGTTGATAAAAGCGTCATTGAGCATTAGACTGAGGTCCCAAAACCTTAATTTTCTTTCTGGCTCTATCACTGATTAAACGTGGCATAGAGAAAGGCACGTTTGTGTTGTGTGGTTTACAGTCTGAAGTGGTGAGACTTGAAGGATGTGAATGAAAAGTGTAATTGAAATTACGATATGGGTAAAATGCTGTCAGTTTTAAAGGCTTATATAAGACAAGTCCATTTTGAGATTAATTGAAAAAAAGCCTTTTAAAGAGACCAAACTAAGGGCCAGTGGTGTTAGCTTCGTTTGCTGGTATAAAGCCATGAACAGTGAAGGCCATTTGTTGGAGATGAGCCTGTATTTGTGTGTTATTTAGATGAGATACCTTTTATTTCTGTGTGTCTCTTAGGAAAGGGAAACTGTCAACTACTTTCCTTGTCTTGAAAAAACTGTGGAAAAATGAAAAATGGAAAATTAGAGATTTAACTGCCTTTGAATTTTTTCCTTGCTGTGAAAACTATGTCTCTTCCGTTTTTGGGGATTGGTTGGGGGGGGGGGGCGGGATTGGTTAAAGCTTTGGGGATTTTTGTGTGTTTTGTTTTTTTCTTCTTAAAATCTGATAGAAATCTTTTAAGTCTTCAGCTTTTGATGACATGTCCTAAATCTGTGTTTATAGTCTAATTCCATTTTCCCCTTCTTCTGCTGTAGGGAGCAAGAGAGCTGAAGGACAGCCAGTTTCCCCAAAATTGGTAAGTCCTTTCTTGAGGCAGGCCTAGTGTGCCTGATGCTAGTTGGGTAATAATTCAAATGTTCAGTGATTTTTTTTTTTTTTTTTTTTTTTTTTTGCAAAAAGGCTTTCTCCCAGAAATGAGGCTTTACTGTTTGCACTGAGTGAAAGTGAATTTTTGTCTAATTTCACATAGCTATATCGCAAATGCATTTGTGTTTCTAATAATACTGCTAGGCTTGCATGTTCCTACATTCGATAACCTGTTAAAATGTAAAGGTCCCCTTTGCCAAAAATGTCCTTAATGCAGTGGTTAGAGCTGAAAATTCTGAAGTCAGGAATTTAAAAAGTTAAGGTTCCTATTGTGTTTTGTATTACTTAATATGCTGTTAAATTTGATGGCCTTAGTACATATGTGAAATGGCTAGGTTAATGTAACTATGGGAACCTTGACTTTGAAATTTGGGACTCCTAAGCATTTATATCCTTAAATTTAATGTTGGATTGGCTTCATGTCTGATGGTACATTTTCAGTGTGTGTTGTTTGCATAATTCCAAATGAGGAAAGAATAAAAAGAGAGAGAGTGAAACGTAGCAGTGTGAGGGCATAGAGGCAAACACATTTTTTCCTTAATACCTGCTTTAATATCTACTCTAACAGCTTATAAGTTGTCACACTTCAGTCATTTTTTTGAATGTCTCATTCAGGATTGCACATTGCACAGGGCAGTCTAGTGACTAAGAATCAAACAAATATCAACCTTATTTGGAGAGCATGTATTATGATAAAAAAAAAAATAAACAAGAGAGCTGGAATAGGATAGTTCCCTGATGCAAGGCTACTTCTTTTTGTTTTTGTTTTTGTTTTTTAAATTCTCTCTCTCAATTCATAATTAACTTAGTGGCTGGAGTAGATATTTGGTTAAGGCTTCATTTTGATAATTTACTGTCCTTGAGGTGTTTCTCTTATCTTTTAGGGATTGGGCTTTGAACATGAAAGGGAGGCATTTGAACCAGTTAACCTTACATCTGACTACCTTTTTATTTTACTTGCCTTTCCCTCATGGAACCTTTTTAAATAAATAATCACGAACCTGTAGCCCTTTTCTTTGAGATTTGATAGAATCACAGAATCTTAGAGAAGGGACCTTAAGGGCTTTCTCTTCCAGCCTTTTACCAGTGTGGCAATTTCTTCTCCTGTGTCCCTGTCAGATTGTTATTCGGGTACATATTGAATACTACATTTTAAAAAAAAGTGTAGCTCATTACTTTCTGTAATGTATTCTGAGCAATTCTAGTTCCACAGAAATGAGTAAATATTATTGAGGTGGGGCGGGGGTGGGAAAAATGTTCTGTGGTCAAATAATTTGGGAAATGCTGCGTTAAACAAAGTTAAACAGGTTTCTTTACTGCAGGACTTCTCAGAACCTTTAATATGCTAATGTGCATTGTGAATCTCCAAGAGGGGGATATGATATGCAGCATTCTTGAATACTTCTAATGACAGGGAGCCCACTACCTCATAAGGTAACCCATTCCTTTTTTGTACAGCTCTAATCCTTAGCTCTTCCTTAAATTAATCTGAAATCTATCCTCCCATAACTTCCACTTCTATTAAATTCTTACTGGTTATGCCGAGACCACCACATACTCTTGTGTTACCCTTTGTGTAGTAAATATGTATATGATTCTGGCCAGGACTGTTTTTAATCATTAAATAGCATTCTAGTAAATGTGTCAACCAACTCTAAAATCTCGGCCTCATTGTCACTATGTTCTTAGACACTCCTCTCCAGCCTCCTTCATTCTGAATTTCTTTGAGTTTTTAAATTTACTCCCAGTGTTCTTGTTGTTGGGTATAGTTGGGATGATTTTAGTGGATGTGCTTGATTTCTGTAAAGGGTAAGAAATAGAAGAATGTGTGTGTGTTGGCTAGGCCTGGGCCTGGGAGGCTGAGGTAGAAACTACATATCAGAATGAACATCGGTGGTAGGGAGAGATACAGACCCTGCAGTGGACCTGGGAAAGAGAGGGTGCTGTTGGGAAACCTGACTTGACCCTGTGTTGCAGTGGTAGGACCTGTGTAGGTATTCCTTTTCTTTTTCTAAATGAGGATCTAGCCTCTCCCCCAAAAAACCAAAGCACAGAGAGGAGAGATATATATATTCAAACACATTCAGACATTGTCATAAATCTAATTGTGTGTGTATGCATGTATAAATCTCATACAGTGGTTAGGAAACATCAGTCTCACTAGCTGAGGTGATTTTTGTCAACAGCTAATTAATACCAGGATTTGAGCAGAGGAACTTTGGCAGCTTCAGAAGGTAGCCTCTGAAATCAGGATTGCCAGGCTCTTTGTGTAGTAGCCTTTTCTGTTGACATGTGGAGTGTCATCAAAGAAATGCCACCATGAAAATAAGAAACAAGCATTGCATTGTTTTCTTAATGTATTAATAAATGTTAGGTTTTTTTAATTTTTTTTTTTTTTTTTTTTTTTTGAGAGAGAGTGAAAGCAGGGGAGGGGCAGAGAGAGAGAGGGATACACAGAATCCAAAGCAGGCTCCGGCGTCTGAGCAGTCAGCACAGAGCCCAACGCAGGGCTCGATTTCACGATGACCTGAGCCAAAGTTGGACGCCCAACTGACTGAGCCACCTAGGTGCCCCAGATGTTAGTTTTCAATAAATGTTTCTAAAGAGTTTATTATTTTTAGTATCTGTAATAATTTTTCGCACTATTAGTTAAAAGTTAAAGATATTGTATCTCTTAGCATTCTAGATACACAGTAAGAAATGACTATTTTGTACAAATTGAAACTTAATATTTTAGTATTAGACGTATGATGAGTAAGGACACATAAATCTGTCAAGACTTTCTACTTTTTTTTTTCTTAAAGTAATCTCTACACCCAACATGGGGCTCGAACCTAACAACCCTGAGAGTCGCATGTACTGATTGAGCCAGCCAGGCACCCAAGACTCCACTTTTGATCTATGTATTACTCAGAATACTCTTTAGAGTAGGTTTGTTTAATTTTTTAAAAAAAGAAGTAGAGGGGCGCCTGGCTGGCTCTGTCAGTAGAGCATGCGACTCTTGATTTCAGGGTCATGAGTTTGAGCCCCATGTTGGGTGTGGAGTTTACTTTTAATCAAAAAAAAAAAAAAAGTGGAACCTTACACCAAGTAAATATTTGGTATAGAGAACACTGAGCTGTCCATTTTTAGGGAATGCAGTCTGAGGGCACAGTGATGTATAGTCTTAATGTTAAAGAAAACTTGATAGATGACTTGAGTTTTGATTGGAAAAAAGGTTTATTCCAATTCAGGAGCAGAGCATTGTTTCTTAGTAGTCAGTTCAGAGGTACAGCATCACTACATCATTAGATTGCTAATGAAAGACACATGTCTCTAAGCAGGACTATACCTGGTAAAATAGTGAGAAGTCCCTTTCTTAGAGAATTGGATAACAGGAAAGCCTACATACAGTCTTCTCAGCAATATACTGTTTTGAGAAGTTTATTACAAAGTTTGTGTGTATGAACAAGAGTTAAGTATGTTAAGAATAGTGTAGAACTTTGTAGTTTACAAAGGGCTTTTTCATAGAAGTTCATCCCTTTTAAAACTCCTAATGCTTTGATGAAGTAGATGATATCTGTTCCCATTTTTCTGATTTATAAGCAAACAAATTAAAACCCTGAGGCTGAGAGTAGTTACACAGCAAGTAAATGAAATTTGTTTGTTCATTTGTTTTTTGGGGGATAGTGAGTGTTCTTTCCAGATAGCACAGCTCCTTTTTTAGTGGGATTTGGTTATTACTTTTATTTTGTTGGTTTGTGGAGTTTTTATTTGTTCATGTTTTTGTTTTTTTTGTTACTTGAAGGTGAGAGGCCGCTAGGTGTCCCAGTAGTTTGACATGTACCGTTTTGAAGGTAACAGATGTTGGTATATTGTGCTAGGCAATTGCCCTCTGTGACGGTAGCATTTAGAGCTTCTGGGTATCTCCGTAGAGTGTGTCGATTACTGCTTTGTGAGTTTGTTTATATTTACCTTGTAGCAATTGGTTTGTTAGTTTTAACTTACTGGAATTGGTCAAAATATGATAAATCATCTTTTTACAAATTTAGTAAATAAAACCTTTTTCATGATGCCATTAACTGCCCCCAAATAGTCTTCATATGACAGCACATAAGTTGTCTATGCCCCCAAAATATTTTTTAAAAGGATTTAACACATTCTTGCCTTGTTTTGGTAAGCTATAAATATATGTATATAATTTATTCCTAGAGGTTGAGACCAGTCTCTTAAAACTGCTACCCAGAAAGAGAACTTTCTGAAGATGTAGGATATAAAATGAATCTTCTAATCCCTTCGTAAGTTTTTCTATAACAAGCCACTCACTTTTTTAACCCTTCAGTGTTATTTTGAAAGAAGAGGAATAATTGGCATTTAGTCATTGCCAAATAAAATTTTGTGCCTGTTTGTGTCTCTAATAAGCAGACAACAATCTGATGAAGGAATAAAAGCTGTCAGCTCCTCATTAACTTGAGTTACAGGCTTCATATCCTGCGAGGCACTTTTTGACATTTAGAGCCTTCAGGTTAAATCCTGGTTTTACTTTTTCTTTTCCTGAACACTTTGTTTCATCACTACCAAATTTTCTGAGGCTTTAGCTATGCTCAGTTAATTTTTTTTTAATTTAAAAAGAACTGCATATTTTCTGTGGAAAAATTTAAAACATCAATACTCTGAAAAATTGAAAGTAAATAACCTTTAGTGCTACCACCCAGAGAAAACCAGGAGCAAATTACGAAAGTGCCACCTGACCTGTCCTCTTGACAGCTCAGAGTATTCTTATTTCTACAAGTCTTTGTCAGTTTGATAGACAAAACTTACCTTCTTGAAATTTACATTTCTGTGACTATTGAAGATGGATGTTTTTCATGTTTGTTGGCCCTTCTTATTCTTCTGAGTTGCTTTTTCATATTTTTAAAATTAATTTGTGAGCACTCCCAATATATAATTTATGTTAACCCTTTGTTATGTATAAGTTTCTATATTGTAAATTCTCCATGTTTTTAACCTGCCCTTTGTTTCCAGAGTTTTTATCTTGACTTGAAGTGTGATGTTTTATGTTACTACCAGTAAAAGTAAATATGGCCTTTCTATTGTTGAAAATATCCCATTACCTTCAAAGTGATTCTTAATTTGACAAAAATTATAAGGAATCAATTTTGGACATATTTTCTGATAGTACCTTGCAAAAGTTAAAACTAACTCAACTAGATCAGGTACTGTTTTCAGGAATAACTCTAATACATGTAAGTTACAAGTTTGAGTAGGGAGGTGGTTTTTAGCATTTAAAATTAAACTGGGGGCACCTGACTGGCTCAGTTGGTAGAGCGTGTGATTCTCAGTCTTGGGGTTTTAAGATCGAACTGCATGTTGGGTGTAGAGATAACTTACAAATAAAATCTTTATAAAAAAAGCAAAATTAGAGTGATAGTATAGTCTTAGCATTTGCTTTTGTTTGTAAACTTACATGACAGCAAAAACAGTTATTAGTCTTAGTAACTTTATGATTCGGATATTTATTACAGCTCCTTAGATTTTCTAAGATAGTAAGTAGCTAAAAAACTGCTTTTGTAGTTTGTTCATCAAAATATGTCTCCTTGTCCAAATTATCTCCCCTAAACATAATGCTTTTTTTGGTTGATAAGTTTTTTGGCCGATAGTATCATTGTACAGTGGTCCTTTCCTAGTCTCCATATATGTAAGTTTGAAGGAATTTTACATTTTTGAAACTTACTGTTTTTTAAGTTAGAGTGTTTTGAGATTACATAACATAGCACATAAATCCTAGGGGAGAGATTGCCAGTGATGTTTTAAGTCTAGTGAGATTAAGCAAATGTAATGAAAATTAATGTTCACAGGAATATATTGTACAGTTAATGATTCTACTATAACTGTTAAGTCAGGGAAAAATTAGGTTGAATACGGACTTGATTCATAGATAAATAATTTTTGGAAAGTGCACAGATTATGAATCTTACTGAATTGGTTTAAGGAGTAGTGGTTCTTCTAAATTCCCGATTGTTCCCTTCCTCAGTTTGTAAGAATGCTGAAAAGCTGCTCTAACTACTACAGGTTTTATAGTTAACAAAGAAGAAAAGAGAAAGAAGTAAAGTTTAAATTTATTCTGGCAAAAGCAAACTTTTGCTTTGGGAGGGTACCTAAAATCACGTCTAAGGCCACATTCAAGAAAAAAAATGAAAAGAGAAATTAGCCGTTGAGTTCATGTAAATTGTAACACTGATGAGCAGAGCAGAATGGGAGGGTTCACATTCACAAATCTAGACTTTTGACATTATCCCACTTGCAGTTACACACACAGCCACAAGAGATGCGCTGACGGGTTTGAAGAAGATGGTGTTCGTTGTCAAGCTGGAAGTGTCTAATCTGCTAGACCACCACCTCTATAGATTTATTTTTTAACATGCCTGTCTTAACTTTGTGGAAAGCACAGTTACATTGCATTGTGCCTGTGTAAAGTATTAATTCGGTAAATGTAAACCTTTAAGGGACACCAGGATTTTCCTGTTTTCAGTTTTATTTTTAAAATAGTATTGAGAACCCATCCAGATGAAAGTACCCTGGCCTTCTTTAACCTCTGAGAGACCCTGAACTTCCCAGTTCACTCTGTGTGATGAAAAATATAGAACCCTGTTGTTATGTGTCTCTAAGACTGTGTGTCCTGGGTGGTTGTAGTCTCGCCCTCTAGGTTCCCAGCTCATCTGGGGCAGAAGTGGTCTTGTTCAGCTCTGTATCCTCAGAATGTGTATGTACCACAGTGCTGAGCATCTCAGCATGCTTAGATGCCTTCATGACCAGAGTACGCACTTTTCCCCCCATTTCTTACTTATTTGAAGTGTTCTGTAGAGGAATGTTCAAAGAATAAGATCCAGAACGTTTTGATACTAGTTCAGTATAAAACTATTCATTTTGGGAAGAAATCTGTTTAGGAAGTGTCATGCCCTGTGTTAGAACATCACATAATTTTCAACTAATATAACTTATTTAATATGAATATTTCTTTTGTTACCAAAAACATCTTGTGATCTCTACAGCTGCAGTGAGAAGAGGAGTTTGTTATTTTAAACGGAGGCTGAAGAAACTGTAGACTTAGCAGACATAAGAGAAAGTGGAGAAGGTGGAGGATGGAGTTGCAGACTCTACAGGAGGCTCTTAAAGTGGAAATTCAGGTTCACCAGGTATGTTCCATTATTGGCTTCTCCCATGTTGTGTTATTAAGTAATGGCTAAGATTAGTAAACTGGCCCATCTCTGAATTTCAGGAGTTTTTAACAGTATTTCAGACAGTTGTCCAAGAGCCATGTCGTTGGCTTTCTATCACTGTGTAACAAACTCACTGATAATACTTTTAAGAACTTTACTTTAGGGGAACGTGGGGGGCTCAGTCAGTTAAGCATCTGACTTCGGTTCAGGTCATGATCTCATGGTTCATGAGTTCAAGCTCTGCGTCGGGCTCTGTGCTCACAGCTTGCAGCCTGGGGCCTGCTTTGGATTCTGTGTCTTCCTTTCTCTTTGCCCTTCCACCTCTGTCTCTGTCTCTCTCAAAAATAAATAAACATTTGCAAAACAAATTAAAAAGAAAAAAGAACGTTAATAAAATATTCCTGGCTTCCTTTCTAGAGAAAACAACGGCATGTTTTTTTTATGTGCCAAAGGTGTTAAAAAAAAAAAAAAAAGCTATTTTTATCCTGTGTTTTGGTTCATCTGAAGACTTTGTTCATGTGCCTTGACTTGTATGTTTTAAGTAATGAGACATGTTTGACTGTCATTTATACCAAAGTTTTTATGCATAACTCAGCTTTATACCTTGATTCCAATCTCTAGTAAACAAAACATCCCATGTTTAAATTTCAAATTTCACAATTCTTACAATTTACCTCAGGTATACATAGGCTAAACAAATCTTAAAAGTATATAAGTAAAATTACATTAATAATTACTTTTATATAATATCAATAAAAATATTAAATATGTATAATATATGTTATATGTATATACATCTTATTTAATATAACTGTAACCCAGACATAAAGCTATCCTTAAATAACAGCCTCATTAACATTTATTTTTGTAAGCAGAATATCACTGTCTATATCCCTTTTCTAGACATTAGCTGAATGTGGTCCTAGGTTCAAGATAAATGCATACACACACACACACACACAATTAAAAGTGGTAAATGATAATGAATTGACTACTTTTGAATGTTTGGGGCATGGGAGTAGAAAGGAGAAAGGGACTAATTTTCTAAAGGTGTTTTTCCTAGGTATAGTTTCTCTTGTTTTACCTGAATAGTTTAAGGTTAACTTCTGAAATTGTTGGTAACACACCTAGGGGGTTTGATAACTACTAAATTTGCACGTTGCTTAGATTAAGGTGGATGAGAGTTTACAGGAAAGCTTCAAAGGCATACACACACACACACACACACACACACACACACACACACACACACACAAAGTCTCTGTGTGTTCAGAATCCCTGCTGCTGCTTTGGATCTGTTAAACTCTTGCTCAGCAGTAGTCTTACAGTTTGCTGTGTACAGGTGGGCTTTTCTGTGTGAAGAGTGTTTTGTTTTATGGTAATTGTAAGAAATTTAGTATATAATAAGTTATGCACATTTTATTTCATTTGGCCTTGCTTCTGTTAGTAATTGGGAATAAAAATCTGTTTATAAAAATAAGTTTGTCTTTTTCCCAGGTTGTAAGTATTTTAACCAAGAGGTGTGTGGAATACTTCATTTGGCTGAATGGAAAATGACAACAGTTAAATTCACAATTTGTTCACAGCTTACATCAGCACAGAGGAAATTTCTGGAGAACAATAATCAATCTGAAATTTGTATGGATCACAGATATTTAATAAAGTTGTACATGATTTCAGGAGATATTCCTCCTCTCAAGAAACAAATTGAACTAAATTACTAAAAATGAGAATTCTTAAATATTATTGGGGCACCTGGGGGGTGCCTCCGTGGCTCAGTTGGTTAAGCATCCTACTTTGGCTCAGGTCATGATCTCACGGTTCATGGGTTCAAGCCACATGTCAGGCTGTGTGCTGACAACTTGGAACCTGGATCCTGTTTCGGATTCTGTGTCTTCCTCTCTCCCTGCCCCCCCCCCCCCGACTTGTGCTCTGTCTCTCTCTCTCAAAAAAAATAAACATTAATTAAAAAATTACATATTATTTTGTTTTATATTTTCCATTCAAGCATAGCATTTTATGAAAATTACAATTATGAAAAAATTTAATGTTTTTTGTTTTAAAATCTAATTTAATTTGTTGGCCCAAAAGGGATATATATAATATTCTTCTGAAAGTTATCCCAGTGTCCTAATATTTACATCGCCTATTTCCCCTTATATTTAACTATTTTTTAGCATAAATCAGAGCTTTTATAGTCATCCTTAATTATTACATATTTTGTTTGTACAATAATAATCATTTATATGTTGATGGCTAATATTTTTAACTTGTATACTTACAAAACATTTTCACTGTAATTACATTTGGAATATTATTTTGGGAAAAAATTAAGTATTCACAGTAAATACAAGTGACCTGTCTTGTTTGTAAATCTGATGTTGTTATTCTGGTTGGGCATGTGTTAAGCTCCATGATCACTGATCATGACGAGTTCAGGAATGCCAGAAATGTCATCAAAGTAGGCACTGGCTATTAGGCTGAGGCCAGAGCCAGGTCATATATTTGACTAAATGCCGGAGCAAAAGCCACCCCTTTTGTATTTCCAGTACGGGATGGAATTAGGGCTGAAACGGAGTTTACTGGATAGACACATGTTAGGAAAATATTGCTGTGGTAGACGTATGTTTTTGTTCTTTATGGACCGGGAGATGGCTAAGAAACTAGCAATGTACACATGGTTGATGTGGAGTAAATGTTTAAATCATAATGGTTTGTGATGGGCATCTCATCTCTTTTGAGAAATTGCCTTTTGATTATTCTCATACAGATTTGATAGAAGCCGTATTTGAACTTTTGGAGTATTTACTTTACATGAAACGGAGATTGGTATAAAGCAGAGGTTAGCAAACTTTTTCTGTAAAGGGCCACATAGTAAAATTTTTTATACTTTGCGAGTCATTTATGGTCTCTGTCACTACTCTGCTGCTGTACAGACTGCAGTGTCCCAATAAACTTTATTTATAAAAACAGGTGGTAGGCAGAATTTGCCTATGGGCTGTAGTTTATGCCCACCTTTGGCATAAAGTATGTTCTCATAAAAATTGCTGCATTCTTGCAAAAGAAAGTAGCTTAATGTTGATAACACGGTGTCAGCTTAAAGTCACTAGGGATTTGGATGGTCTAGTTAAGTTGCCCAGCTTGTCCTGACCTGCCTCTGATTATCTCAAATGCAGCTTGACTACTTATAGATAGAAAAATTGGTTTATTTATTTCCTCCAAGAATGAGGGCTTAATGTGGTTATCAGTCGGTTTTTAAGTTCCAGTGTCATGGAAGAAAACCTTTTTTTGGCTTTAAAAAGGCAACTTTCGTGTAGTAGCCAACTCTCTAGTAATTAAGGTAAAAAAAAAAAACAAAACCAAGGACCTTTTTCATTGAAGAGTGTGGCTACCCTTGAGGCTGCACTGGCAAAAATGTGTATGTATAAGGCATGTTTCAGTTTCACTGAACTCTTAGAATGTGTGTTATTACTGTTTTGTAGATTAAGGCCAGGATGTAGAAGAGTTACTCCTGTCACATATGAAGTAGAATATAGTAACATATACCTTCTGTTGCCAACCTCGGCTATCCCGAATGTATCTTAGTACCTGAATTAAGACTCTTGACCGTCTACAGTAAATATTAGAAGTCACTCACGAGAGAGTATACATTTTACTCAAGGGGCATTTCTTAAGCTATTACAACCTATTCGATCATCTTAGAATTAGTTCATTGAGCATATCACACAGCAGATCATAAGTAGCAAATTTGAGTTGGGGTTCAAGGGCTCTTGGAGGAGACATAATAATATTAGCAAGATTTGCTAGCTAACTCCTTGGCATTACAGAGTAGACTGAAAGGGGTGCCTGGCTGGCTCAGTCAGTAGAGCATACAACTCTTGATCTCAGGGTTGTGAGTCCAAGCCCCAGGTTGGGAGTGGAGCCTACTTTAAAAAAAAAAAAAAAAGTAGACTAAAAAACTAAAATGCAGACCTGGGAGGGAACTCCTTAAATCATAGCAGTGAGGGGCCTTTATTGTAAGGACCTATTGTGTTGTTTATGGAATAGTATACTAATTGATATAATCATGCCTGTATCAATAAAAGCTGACTTTTGTTTCTATTTAAGAAGGCAGATTAAGTACATATTTTAGAAATATTTTATGACTAACAAATGTAAAAGTACCTTGTCACTCAAAGAGAGGGACAGATTTTTTAGTTACATGAAAAATTCACTTAGGGAACAGCTTATTCCCAGATACTTTTAGGAATCAGCCTGGTATTTTTTTATCCTTCAAATTCTTCTCTCCCCGGGTATTGTTACCTTTGGGCAGTGATGCTTTTAGAGGTTGGGTTAGGTCAACAGACATCCATTTTTCTTTCCTTTTCATTTATTTGGACTTCTGCTTTCCTAAGTAAAGGTCTTTCTCGTTAAGTATTCTGGTAGCACTCTCCTTTCCAGAGGAACCCAGGTAGGTACAGTTTTGTCTTGTTCCTTCACTTCCTTACTTTTAAATAAATACTGAGCATCACTGCTCCACTTAGTACACCCCCCCCCCACCCCCATCCCCAGAGGATAGTGGCAAAGTCGAATCTGACACTAGGCTCCTTTTGTGGTTAAGAACCAAACCAACAGACTTGCCAAATCTGTACTTTGCTGTATACAAACAGGCCTGTTTTGTTATGGAAGCAGCTTCTTTCCAGGCCTTTTGGGACTCTAAACAATGACAACATTTTAAAGGGGTGTTTGGCTTTTGGAACATCCAGCTTGCTTAAATTGCTTTTTTAAAGCCCCCATCCCCCACTACATCTCCAGTTTTGTTAAAAGCAGGAGGTTTTCATTTCAAAGTGGTAGTTTTATATATGTATAATATAATATATTAATATGTTATTAATATATAGCAATATAATATGTTAATATAACATAATATATTAATACTATATACGAGGAAGAGTATCTCATTAACCTTTTATATGGATCATAGACGCTTTTGGTCTATTCTGATTGCATGTTTTTCATTTTTTTGTGTGGACTTAAAACTTTAGATTTTGGGGGCCAAGTCTGATTAGCCATAGTGGGTTAATATGGAAGACTAATGGCTCTTTTTCTCTCTTTATCACCAGAAACTGGTTGCTCAAATGAAGCAGGATCCACAGGTAAAATACTACTTTTATTTTTTTTAATTTTTAAATTAAAATAATTTAAAATAAAGTAACCATAACATACTAAAATACAGACCAGCACTTAAGTTTTAAAAACTATCTCATCTCTGACAGCAATTATTTTTAGCATATTGGTTTTCATGTCATAAGGGTTGAGAAAAATCCAGTCATTCTATTATAGTGTAGCTATTATCATTTCATCTTTGTTTCATCATCACTTTATATTAATTGCTTTGAGTATTTGGGAGAAAAATTGAGAGTTAATACTCTTCATGTAGCTTAAATTCTATTTCCATAAGCATACTTATTTAGATTCAGAGTTTATGAGGCTTTCTGTAGTCTCCGAATTATTGTATATGGTCCAGAACCATTCTCATCTTGTCATAGTTTATAGTACAGAACACTTAAATACTTAACTCTATGGCTAAATAAGTTCAGAATAATTTTTAAAAATCTTAAAAAAATTTTTTATCTTTGAAAGAGCCCTTAAAGAGGGTTTTAAAAGTACCTTATGTAACAATCCAGCAGATCTTACCTTCTTTCTAAATTCTCATAGGAGTTTTTGACTTAGGCATTTTATTCTCTGTCCCTGAAGAGAAATCTTCCTCAAATGTTATCTGGTCTTTAGGGTGCCCGAGTGGCTCAGTTGGTTAAGCACCCAACTCTTGATCTCTCCTTAGGTCTTGATCTCAGCTCAGGTCTTGATCTCAGGGTCAAGAGTTCAAGCCCCATGTTGGGCTCTGTGATGGGTGTGAAGCCTACTTTAAAATAAAAAAGTTATCTTGTCTTTGATGATTATATTTATTGTTCAGGAAGTGTCTCCTTTGCAGCCGTTGTTAGTGGGTCATAAGTTTGGAGAGTATCAGACCCTCAGGATTTGTTTACCCATAATCTGTTTACAGAACACTTAGATCCATTATATATATATGTAAATATATCTATATATATATGTAGATATTTTTAACTTGTTAAACATACCATATATGCCTTATTGTAAAATTAAGAAAATAAGTTTTTGGTTGAAGAATGGTACTGAAACATTGATTTTTGGAAGTGGGAAATATATCCATTTCTACAAAAATTTAACAGCCGGTGGCCTGTCGTGTTTTAACATAATCCATTGGCTTTGAGAGCTAGCGTTGATAGCCCATACTTAACTCCTGTTTGACAGTCCAACTTCTTTGAGAAGCTTTTCCATCTTTATTTATTTTTTAAAGTATATAAAAATTTAAATTAGATGTAGAGAATCAAGAGGCAGTAGACCTTAGATAAATAGTCTCTTTTATATTTAATATGGTAACTTACATTGTCAGCAACTGAAATATTATTAGAAAATATTAGCATTTCTGATATAGCTGGTGGTCCTGTAACAGAGCAGTCTTAACTCAGAATCTGAGGGGGGCAGAAAGTTGTTGAACAATCTTATGAGTGATCTCGTTAGAGAAGCTTTATATGAAATACACTTATAAAAAAGACAACATAGAGTAAACATAAGGGGGGGAGGATGTATGCCCTGACCCTGGCAGAAGACCAAGCAGGGGTGAATTGAAAGAAAGTGTACAAAACAATGAAGAAAAATTAGTCTTTTATTGGAGTGATATTTAGTCTGTTAGTAGGCTGTCCTTCTACATGAAGCATTTGAAAATTTTAATTTTGGATTTTTTTCCCCCACTTGAATAGAAAGCAAGCATGTGTAGTGTGTATCTCATCTAAAATAGTATTCCTTTTTGATTCCTAGAATTTTAGAACTGAGAAAATACCCTTGTAGTCAGTGTGTTAATTTGAATGATGTAGTGTTAAGGCAGGTGCAGCACTGACAGCTTTTCAAACCTAGGCTAAAATAACAAATGTGCTCTATGAAATAAGAGAGAGGGCAAGTGGAGGAAAAACTCTTATCTTTATTGATAATACCGTTAAGCATGCGGTGTATGCATACTTACAACTTCCATTTTCCTGCTTTTGTCTGATTAGCGAAGCTTTAGGTTTTTGGTCAACTGATACTTTCTATAAAGAATAACAATATTTCAATAGAAAGGAGTACTATTACTGTGCAAGATGCTAAAGTATAAAACTTCTTGTAGTTTGAAACAATTGCAAAGAAACTGCCCCTGTTCCAGTGCTAGGAGCTACGTTTAGGATTTGTCCATTAGGATTTCGGTGGTGGTATGACTGCAGTTTAATGCATGGCAAAGTTGATTGGCTAAATGCTTAAGATTGCTTCTTCATTTGTAATACAGTGTGCATAAGTCTTCTTGCTACTATTCTGTTAACAAATGAAATATCTTTCTCACAGATATTTTTTCTTTCCAATCAGAATGCTGATTTAAAGAAACAGCTTCATGAACTCCAAGCCAAAATCACAGCTTTGAGTGAGAAACAGGTAGGGGAAAAAGGAGGGGGGGCATATTTTTAACATTGTGTTCTAAAGATATGTCTGCTCGAGGCTTCTAGGAGAACTGCTATTTTTCCTCATGTGTGAAAATAAGTGTGGGCAGCCAGACTCAGTTTTAATTTTGTTTGAGCTCTGTTTATCTATTTTTATTTTTGGTTGAAATCAGCGTCTAGAGTATCCCATGGGTATATGTTACTGGCAAATATCTAAAAGCAATGTGCAGGCTGCTGTTAACTGTGTTAATTAAACTCTATAGCTTACCCATAGGGGAAAGAGGTAAAGAAAGTTAGTGGGAGTATGTGATAGAGAATCTTGTAGTTACTGGATGTGTCTTGTTAACCCGTTTTAAAGGCTTGAAATGACATTTAACTTACTGTGGAGAAAATGGTTGTAAATAAATTACTCTAATTGTAGGTCTCCTATTCTCATTATCATCATACCTTTATATTCTTCTTTATTAGATAGTGACCTATTATGTAAAAAAACTTCGGCGGAACCTTGTTAGATTTATTTATATAAAAAGCAAGAGAAGAGCATCTTGCTTTTTTTCCCCAGGACATCTGGAAAGTGTTCTTTGGGATTTCTTGTGTAATGACCTCTCCTTCACCAATTCAGGCAGCTCCTGCCACCAGGTGGAGTGTGACAATTGATAGAGCTCTAAGTAAAGGTCTGTGGTGTTCCGACAAAGCGTTTGTGTTCTTATTCCTTCTCCACCACCCTCCCTCTGGTGAAAAGGAGCAGTTTTCTGTCTTGGAGTAGGTGACTGTGTGTGAACCAAAAGGATGAGGTGATTTGCAATCGATAGTTCCTGCTAGTGACATGTTACTGAAGATTTTTGACTGAATAGTTCTCAATAATTGATTTTTGTGTGGTTTTTTAAACTTTTATTTCGTGAAATAATAGTAATAAGAGTAATTTACTCTTGGAGATTTCTGATTGCGTTTGTATTGTGTGTTCTAAGGGGCGAAAGAAATTTTGAGAACTATGTGGAACAGATACGAGTCACTAATGGTTCAGAATAGAATCTTTATCCAGGCTGCGTGAACGATGGCTTTTTTTCTCCCCACTCCTGTTCTTCTGCTTCTGCGTTTCCCCATCTTGTCTTCTCCAGAGACAGGAGGTATTTTAGATTAGGGAATTGCCAAGCTAAAATTGGGAGGAGGTAGCATGGTAGAGAACAATTTGTAAGGAAAAAATATAAACAGAGTTCGTTAGTATGTATTTGGCTCTGAAAGCGATTCAGTTCTCTAAAGTCAAAATGATGTGTGTTAGTGAAAGTGTTCTAGCTTTGGAATTCTGTTAGCACTGAGCCGCCTTATAGTTTCAGGGTTAGTTTGACAAGATGCCAATGAATGACTCACTTTTGCTGAAAAATGCACGTGTTCCAGCAGGGAAAGAAGGTGAGAACTGATTAGTGGAGTAGGGAGTGGGGGATGTTGTCACAAAGTTAAGACAACCTAAGGCTACATTTGGGGAAAATGGGGCAATTGAAAAATTGTATTTATTTGAAATTATTGTTTGTCAGAATTGATGTAAAGATTTGGTTTATTTTTGTATCTTTTTATTCTTTAATTTCTTTTTCATACTAGGGGCCTCACTTAATAGAAAATTGCAACCATTTATGTTTATGTTCAGTAAGACATTTCGTCAAGTGGCAGACTCTGTCATCTGAACGAAGTTTGAGTTTTAGAAATTATAATCGTAAAAAATGGGCCTGGCATCAGGAAAATCTTAGGTATAAAAGTAAAGAGAACAGAGTCAGAAGCTAAAATGCAATCTTGGCAATTTTTAAAAATTTGCTTAACTCTTAAAACAACCTTTTTGATAGAACAGAAAACATAACATTTTTAGGTAAGCTAGTTCTTGAAGGAAGCACAGCAATAAAGTTCAAAAGCTGGTCCTTCTTCAGACTTATTTCCGACACAAAACATTGATAATTAGTTTAAAATAGTTTTATTTTACAGCAGATGCCTGATGTTGAATGCCTAGCATTTTTCTTTTCCTTCTTAAAAGATCTACTTAAGCCTCTGGCAAAACACTGATTTGCCTTTTACTTTAATAACTAAAATCTGAATTACCTTACTCACATAACAACTATTTTAATTTAATATTAATTTTTTTTGGTTGTGAGAGAAATGCTAAATATAGCAAAGTTCAAAGAGTGCTATATTCCAGAATTAACTACTATTAATCCTTTGTCATTATTTGTTCTTATTTTTTTATCTGCATGCACTTCTCTGCAGTCATTTTTTTCTATATCCACTAGAAAACTTAATTTACACAAGAAATAGATGCATACATTCTTTTTTTTTTTTTTTTTTTTTTTTTTTTGCTGTATTAAAAAAAAAACAAACCATTGCAGATAGTCATTAATTCTTACGGTGGGCACTTACTAGTTCTTATTTGTTATTGCTTCCTCAATCTTTGGTAATTTTTCAGTTTCCTCCTCAAGACTAATTGTGAAATGTTATGCTCCATTTGGGAAAGTATGCTTTTTAGTGAGCATCTCTCATGACTAAAACTCAGTGAACTTCATTGAGTTCTTGGTGAGAAAGTTCCATTGTTTTCAAACTGCAACTTGAGATTTCTGAATAAACTCTCCATTGCAGATTTTGAAGTCAGCCCCTTGACCCGCAGGGCTTTAATTTGCGGTTGATAGTTTTAACTCAGGAAATCTCCTGACTTGATTGGCTAAACAAATTATATGTTATGGAACCATTAAAAGTCATGGTTTCAAGAATATGTTAATGATCCAGAGAGTGCTCGTGATAAAGCAAGTGAAAAACACATCAGCTTCCTGTGCATTACAGTCCTGGTTTTTAGTGTGTTGTATGTGTATATATATGTATGGAGGCATGTGAATACGTGGAAAACAGTGTCATGAAACGTTGGGAGGTGATGAATTTACGGGTAGTTTATTTTTTCTTTATAGTCTTAGTATATTTGCTTTATTCTCCACAATGAATATGTTTTCTTTTTATAACCAGAAATAGACAAGAAACATTATTTTAAAAAATTTTAACACCAAACTTTTGTCTGTTTCAGGGAGAGTTAGCATTTAAATACCTAATGACATTCTCCTCATGGTATATGAACCACTCTAATCAGAGAATCCAGCTATTTCAAACACTAGTAATACTGAAGTGTGGAAGCAACTATTAATTTCTTTAACAGAGTTCATTCTCATTCGGCACCCCTCCCTCCTCAGTTTGGCACGACGTGCGGTCGGTCTTTTGCTTGTCAGAATAGAGGTTCTGATATTGGAGTCCCTCCATCTAGCTCCTTTACTCCTTACTCTGCTTTTATTCTGTTTCACTGCAGAAGCAGTCTTAACATCCCCAAATTTGTTGCTTGTCCCTGTGGTGACTCAGGCTTAAGTCATAGAAGTTGCGTCTTTGATTTCCCCTGCCTTGAACAGTTTGTTACCCAACCTCTCTTCACCTGGTGCTCTCCTGGCCGAGTGTTAGGTCACAGCTTAAATGTTACTGCTTCAGAGGACCTGTCCCTTAGACGCCTTCCTTCTGTCAAAATCAACTGTTTCTATTATAATCTCTTATTGAACCCTTCATTTTTCTTTCATAGCTGTGCCAGTTAGGATTAGGTTCAGCTGTGAATGACTGAAAACTAAAAATGAAAATGGCTTAAACAAGGTAGAATTTTCTTTCTCTCTTATGTAAAAGCCCTGTAGGTGTACGAGGACCGATGATAGTGGTTCCACAGTGTCAGGGAACCCAGGCTCCTCCTATTCTGTTGCTCTGCCACTCTCAGCATGAAGCTTCCACATCATAGTCCAAAATATCAGCTCCATCTGGTGAGAAGGGGGAAAAACAACAAAAAGCAAGCCCTTTATTTTTAAGGATGCTTACTGGAAGTTGTATATACCACTTCCAATTAGATCCCATTGGTCAGAGCTTAGTCATGCGGGCCCTGCTAGGAGCAAGGAAGGCTGGAAAGCGTAGTCTATTCCAGGCGGCCATAGGCAGATAAAATTCAGGGACTCTGGTACTGAGTAAGACGGGGGAAAGAAACAATATTTCTGTCACAGTAGCTTATCACCATTTGTAACTACACATGTATAATAATTTTTTTTTAATATAGATCTTCTTCAATAGACTGTTAGTTTCGAGAGGTTTTAAGGAACAGGGGCGCCTGGGTGCCTCAGTTGGTTAAGTGTCCAACTTCGGCTCAGGTCATGATCTCACGTGAGTTCAATCCTTGCATTGGGCTCACTGCTGTCAGCGCAGAGCCTGCTTGGGATTCTCACTCTCTCCTCTCTCTCTCTGCCCCTCCTCTGCTCGTGCGCGCGCTCTCTCTCTCAATAAGTAAATAAACTTAAAAATAATTAAAAAAAAAAAAGAAACCGTTTTAGGGAACATGTTTGTCTTATTTACCTCTTTATTCTGAGTATAGTATTTTGTATAATATTTAGCATAAAATAATATTTAGTACAGAAAAGCATTTGTATTTCTTCAGTGAATTATTTTATCCACTTTATCTTTTTCTCTATTTTTAGATAATTTTTTAATTTTAATTTTTTATTTAAAAAAACTTTTTTTTTGAGAGAGCATGTCAGTGGGGGAGAGGGACAGAGGAAGAGGGAGAGAGAGAATCTTAAGCAGAATTTGTGGGAGCCTGCTTAAGATTCTCTCTCCCTCTTCCTCTGCCCCTCTCTCTTTCTCAAAAAAAAAAAAAATAGTCTTGCTTTTTATGCCTTTTAAACTGAAAGTTTTATGAGCATTTTACATTTTTGAGTGTTTTTTTAACATTATTTTTATGGGTTCAAATATTTAGTGGTCTAGCTAGATTATAATGTAGTTACTCCTCTAATATTTGATGATAGGATGTTTCCAGGTTTTTTGCTATTGTAAATATTGCTGTGATTGACACACTTGTGTGTGAATCTGTTTCTCTCTGACTGCTTTTAGGATAAATTCTTAGGTGTGAGGTTACTGGGTGTATTTGTCAGCTATTGCTGTAATAGTTCTGCA